ATATAATTGTGTATTGTCGATCAGTGGAAATAGAAACAAACGAAAATATTTTTGCGTTTGGTTATTATTATTTTTTTCTTGCTATTCTAATAGAATGCAACCAAATATTAGAGTGAGTGGGGGTGTTTCAAATTATTTATATTTATTTTAAAAATAATTTAATATTTTTTCTTAATACACCAATTGTTTTTTAAAAACTTTTAATAGAAAATTTATTAAATATTAATCACTCACTTTTTAGAATAAAACCACAAATTAAATACGAAAATTTTTAACAATTTTTTTTTTCTTTTTTCACTGATCGCGATTAGTCCGTCCGCGACTAATATACGACAGACGGAGAGACAAACGAAACGACAAAACGTTGTAAAGCGGCCGTTGTATTTTTTGTTGCAAATAGGCCGTCGAATTTGTTTATGTTTTGGTTGTTATTATTATTTTTGTTTTATGTTTTTTTTTATTGCGAGCTCACAAAGAAAATAAAAGCACTGCACTGACCTACCTGTTTTTGTTTATGAAGATGATAATTATGATGAGTTTAGGGATGATGATGTATAGGGATGGTGATGATGTTGTGTTGTTGTTTTTTGCTGCTGAAAATGCAAACAATAAACCAATTAGAAAATCGTTTCCAAAAGCTCGTCTCCGGTTCGAATGGACCAAAATGTTGACGCCGAAATTGCGTGCAAAAAATAAGAAATAAAAACACGAACGTTTTTAGATTTAAATTAAAATAAAGGCAGTTGCTTTATTGATAAAAAATCGAAGAGTGGAAAAATAGATAGAGTGACAGATTACCTGTTGTTTGGTAGGCCAACGAAAAGAGAGTCTTTGAGTGTCAACAATAATAAAGGAAGGTGGCGTCGGCGCTAATTCCATACTCGTTAGAATCTGCCATTTGACATTTCAATGTTGTAATATTACGGAGTATGAAGATTGTAACGAATATGGAATTCAATGCGTTTTGAAACACAATAAAAGTGTAAACGCCCAATGAAATCAATAGATTTTCTAAATTAAACAATTTTTTACTGAGCCCTTGTTCGAATACAAACCCAATTTAAATTACCCTTCCAAATTTAAACCATTCACCTTTTTTATTTCCACATATTTCACAAATCGGTAAATTTAAATTTCAATGGTATAACACATGTGTTCATAAAATAATTCTTAAATGCATTCTCCGTCGAATATTGATATTCCATTTTAAAATTCCTTACAATATTGGCCAAAGTAATTTCCAATTGCAGATCGACAATTCGCTTTCCCACACAAGAGCGAGGACCAAAACCGAATGGTAAAAATATAAATGGATTTGTATTCTTAGCCGACATATCATCCTGATTATTTGATCGCAACCATCGTTCAGGCATAAATTTCTCGGCATTGGGGAAATACCGATCCTCCTGCAGCAATAGATTTGATGTTAAAAATACATTTGTCCCCTTGGGCACCTGATAACCACTCAAACACAAATCCTGGCCCGTTGTTCGCATATTACCAGCTATCAAAGGATACGTACGCAATGATTCCTTTATGCAGGCTCGTAAGTACGGCAGATTTTTCATATTTTCCATTGTGAATTTTTCCGTGCGACCAATATTTGTTAAAATCTCTTGCCTCAATTTTTCTTGCTTCTCAGGATTTTTGGCCATACACAATAGGACAGCTGCCATAACGGATGATGTTGTATCCACCCCAGCAATTAACATATCTATGGCCATAATAATGGCAATGCGGCGATCAATTTTTATCAGCTTTTCCAAAACACTCTTACCCTCTTGGTGGTCGCCACCACCACGAGCCTCAATACGTTGCAAAGTTTCATCGACAAATTTACTACATATCAGGGTTATGCTATCCATGGCATTTTCAAAACGCCTATAGGAAGGGGTTTTGATATATCGATATATCGAGGGTTTAATGCCCAAATCGTAGAAAGCCTTGGTAAAGTGTTGTAAATGATTGAAAAGTTCCTGGGCCTCGGGCACGGCGTTCTTATTGCGTACCAAACCCAAATCTTTATCCAAAGCAATAACAGCCACCGATTCAAAAGCCAGGCGTTTTATTTCGGATAGGAAATCTTCGGGAACTTCTAGGGAGGAGGGATTGCGTATTTCACGAATTCTGGAAGAAAACAACATACGATTTATTTCAAAAGGAGCCAAAAAGTTTTTTTTTTATAGGTTCCGGAGGACTTCTGAAATACGAACAATCCTCAACAACTTCAAGCGATTATGGATGGTTTGAATGGGATCCAAAATTTGTTAATATAGAACATTTTGAGGTCTTCTTATTTTAAATATAGTCGATCAAGAGGCATTCCTATGCTAAAATATAACTTTCAAAGCTTTCTTAAAACTTTTATATAATTTTTAAACTAGCTTTCAGCTGCTAAAATATTGACATAAAGGGCTTACAAGATTCGGTACAGGTTTCAAAATAGAAGATAAAATATTCTAATTTTGAAAGATCTGAAAAAGCTCCTTTTATAACTTCTTCCGATTAAAGACGTATAGCAAGCAAATATAGAAAACCTTCTGAAGTTAGTGAAAGCTTTTCTACGGACTGAACAAGTCATTTAAAATGCATCTATTCGAAAAATATTTCAAAAGCTTTTCTATAATAATAAAATAAAAATGTAGCGATTTTGTCTTTTCTACAAAATAAAGATTTTCAAAGTTCTTTCTTACTTGGATTACCTTCAAAAGCTCGTCTATATATAAAATACTTTTAAAAGCTTTTTCAATAAAAAAACACCATTACAAGTTGTATATACTTTTGATGTTTTAAAAAGCTCTTCTATAGACAAAAGAACTTAAAAAGCTCTTCTAAAAGAAGAACACCATTAAAAATTCATCCATCTATAGTTAGAAACGATCTTTAGAAGATTTTTCTACAAGAAGGAAACCTTCAAAGCTCGTATATATTCGAAAGCTTTTTACATTTAAAGACATTCAAAGTTCTGCCAAAATTAACAACATTAAAAGCTCTTCTCAAATCAATCTGAAGCTTTTCTAAATATAGGCTGTTCTTTTAATTATTTTTTTAGGTATTGAATACCTTCTAAAGCTTTTTTCTACATATCGAAGCTCTACAAAGGACTTAAGCTATGGTTAGAAGTTCTTCTACAAGAAGGATACATTCAAATGACCGTCTATATTCAAAGGATTTTCTATATGTTAAGGACATCCAAAGTTCTCAAGAAAAACCCGCAACATTAAAAGTTATTCTCAAAGCAATCTGAAGCTTTTCTAAATATAGATTTAAGATTTTCTCCACACAAAACAATCTGTAGAGCTTTTCAATAATTAAATAGAAGACCTTTTGAGGATTTATTTTTTGCTCATAGAACATCTGCAAAAGCTCTTTAATATCACGAAGATTTTCTAAAATCTATACCATACATGAAATTCTATACTTCGAGATCTTCTATATGATCCCTTCCAAAGTTCTCCTATTAATAGAATACCTTTTGGAAAATGTTTTCGGCTCATATTAAACCCGCAAAAGCTCTTCAATATGATGAAGATTTTCTAAACCTTTATTCCATATATATAGTACATTGGAAACATCTTCTATACTTCCAGATCTTAGATACAGTACCTTCTAAATTTTTTCTATAGATAAATACCGCTCATAAGCTTTTATCGCTCATAAGCTTCCTATCTACGTCCTATATACGTATTCCTACACATCCATTATTCGGAAGAATTCCATTTAAAAATCTTTAATTTTTTAAGTAAAGTCCTACAAAAGCTATTCTAAGCTAATAATACACTCAACAAATAGTCTATACTTAGGAGACCCCCAAAAGCCCATATATAGATGATCTTCGAAGGTTTTTTTGTAGGTATTAGAATATAAATATACAAAGCTCTTCTACAGACAGATGTCGTTCATAAGCATTTGTCTTTCTATAGAGAAAGACCATCTCAAGCGTTTCTATATAAAGACGGCATTCAACCTGAAGTTCCTTCGGAAGCTCTTTTATAGATATTAGACTGTCATAAACCCTTCTACCAACATTGGACCTTTAAGATATCGCCAATGAACACAGAATATAGTTCAAGATCATCGAAAGCTCTACTTTAGTCACTAAAATTCTCAGATGCTATTCGGTAGCTATAAGACTTTCCGATTCATTTAACCTTGGCCTTTAAATGCTCTCCTATCTTTATAAAATTTATAAAAATATTAAAAAGTATCCACCATATTTTACCTCTCAATAAAATCATTATTCACTTTTTGTGTTGGATTTATGTACAACACCGTATTCCTAGGCTGCATCAGGACCGGATTGACAGCATGACGAAATTTACCCCATTGAGGGCCACTGTAACAACAAAAGAAAAATTTAATATTTTTCCTTCCAAAATCCTCCTGAACTTACTTGGCGGCAACACCCAAATTCCCCTCGTCATATAGGCCATCCTTTCTAGCCAGACGATATTCGAAAACAATTTCATTACCCGGTCTCGATGGATATGGTCCTTCGGTACGAAAAATCTTTTCATAATCATTTAAATTGAACGTGATTAAATTGGTATTTTGACCAAACATTCCCGGCAGTAGATAGATGTCGCCATAACGTCGACGACACTCCTGCATAAACTCAGTAAAGGGCATGTCGTGAAAATCTCCGCCGCGCATAAAACCTCTAATCATTTGAAATTTACTTGGACCCGGTATTGAGCTGAAGGGTTTTGCCTCCTGCCATTCTTCGGCCAAGGTGCTGGTATAGGAGTTATCCAGGGGGATTGCCGAGGGCTGGAAGTATGCATGCACACACATTTTGAAAATAATTATGGTGTTCTGCCCATGAATCCTTACCTTAACATTGACCGCTGTAGAGTATTTGACATAATTCCATATAGTATTGAAATCACTACGTCGTAGTTGGGTTCCACTTAGCCTCGATAACATTTTAGATTTTATTTTCCTATTATTTTTTTTTTACAACTTGCCTTGACCAAGCGAAAACAATGACTGCCTTATAAAATCTGGTGAATGCATCCACTTCGATGGGCAGAGATATCAAAATTAATCTCACTCTCTTTTTTAAGTGTATGGCCCCGGGTTGAGCATCTGTTCGAAAAAAAACTGGAGGTAGTAAATTTGTGCTAATAAATTCGCAAGTCATCAGTGTTGGGTACACAAAAAGCTACGGCACCCTACAAGTGGTATATTACAATACATAGAAATGTATTTCAAGCCGACCACATTAGTTGACATATTTGGGAATCTTTTGCAAAATACTCATCTGAAAAATAGCGATAATTATAGCCCATAAAAAATAACGACCCCCAAAGGTCGCCTAGACCTAAAGAAAAAAATGTTCATCAAGCTTATCAGTTATTAAATTAAATTCGATAATGGCCATAAGTGCGCACTCGGACAATCAATTATCAAATTTAACATGAATGTCAGAATTTGCACTATGGGAAGGAAATTCTGTGAGAAATTCTTCCATTAAAAATTGGCTCTTCTGAGTGAGGATTATTTCAAAATAATCGCTTTTTAATGCTATAAAATATTGATACGCTTCAGAAGGCATCCTTTCTACAGAGTAGCTTTTGAAGTGTTTTTCCCTAAAAAAGCTTCTAAGGGTCTTCTAATTTACAAAAGTTTTTCTAACTAAAAGGGAATGCTTCTGAAGTACTGCCATCTTTGACAAAGCTTCTGAAGATCTTTAAAAAACTTTTAAGGGTCTTCTCACTTTAAAAAGAAAGCTTTGAAGTTTTGCTTCCTTTGGAAAAGATTTCAGATACGATCTGTAGAACACCTATCTAAGGTTTACAATTTATGTAAGAGCTTACGTAGGTCTTCTACTCTATAGAAGAGCTTTTGAGCTTTTATCCAAAGGTCTCCTAACTACAATGGGAAGCTCTGTTACTTTGGAAGAGCTTCTGAGAGGTTTACCAAAGATACGATCTGTAGCAAGCCTATCTAAGGTTTTGAATTTATATAAGAGCTTACGTAGGTCTTTTATTCTTTAGAAGAGCTTTTGAAGACATTTTCTATTATTTTTATCATTGGAAATGCTCTATATGAAAATAACTTCAGATGGATCTTATATATAGAAGACATGTCTCAGATCTTAAATCGACATAAGAGCATTCGATGGTTTTCTATATATACGATACCCTACACAACATCCACGGAAATCAAACTTTTTGTGGTTTTTTATTCTGAGCTTGGGCAATATTTCGCGATATTTGCAACCTCTTGACCGACTAGGAATCATCCAGTACAGCCCTTAGAATTAGTTGTCCCGATTCCCTTCACCGTGGGTTGTGTTGTGATGTTCGGCTTTCAATTGTGGCCTATAGATCGACTCGAAAAAAAAACACAAAAAATTGAGTTTTCGGTCCACTGCATCCAATATTATTATCTGATCATCACCGAAAATTATAGGCGTTATCCTTGACCATACCTCGATCCTCATGGAAAATTTCAAAGTGATTAGAGGTATATTTCCGCCTCTAGTGTTGTAATATCTGAGTATTTAAGCACCTGTAAATATTTAAGTGTAACTCCCACATCCATGTACATACGGCGATATAATTGGTATCAATTTAAAGGTCAACCACTCCTCTTGGATATACTGTCAACTTCTCGGGTATATGTCCTCCAGGAGTAAATATATACGCCATAGAATACAAATTTTGTAATTTTTCACACAAAAGTCAGGGTCTATTTGAACCGCTAAATATTGACCGAGCTTTATCAAAACATGCATGCTTATTCGATGGCCCGATGGCCTTCTCCATGTAAAATTTCGGAATGTTTGGGCCATAATTGCGGCCTCTGGAGCGACCAGAAAAACCTACAAAAATTAAGTATTTGGTCCATTTCAGTCCCTAAATATTAACCGATCTTTACCAAAAACAATAGGGGTCTTCAGTGGCCAGAACCCATCCTACATGCAAAATTTCGTGAAGATTGGTCCATAACTGTGGCCTGTATCGTGTTTACAAATAATAATGGACGGATAGACGGACACACATGTCTAGATCGACTTAGCTAGACGAGATGTGACGATCGATGTATTTAAAGGTGGGTCTAGGACCAATATTTCGCGGCGTTACAAACTCTTGGGGCTGCACAAAGCTATAATTCCCTGACAGCATAGTTGTGTAGGATATAATGATGGATATATAGAAAATCTTTAGAAAAAATTTATATTTCTAGAAAAGTTTTCGAAGATAAGTTTTAGAAAAAAAAATCGTATGAATGTCTTATATTCATTTATATATCCAAAGGCCTGGAATATTTAGGAAAACTTCAGAATACTTTAGGTATTCCAGAGGCAAAATGCCTTTGCGCAGTTCTTCTGAAGACAAAAGACCTTATTCACATTTACTACTACTTTATTCAGTCCTTCCGGAATCAAAAGCCCCCCTTCGCCTCTTTTCGATAAAATACATTCGACAGGCAGAATGCATACATTCCGTCTTCTATATATGGAAAACCCTCTTTCGGGTCCTCTACAGATAAAATAACTTCTTTGGAGACTTAATAATTTTTTCCGGCCCTTTGGAATTATCAGATCTACTTCAGATCTTTCAGAGACGAACTGTAATACTCAACATAAAATACTGAAGGTATTCATTAGCTTTTATAGAGACAAAGCTTTCTTCTGTAAATAGAAGGTCTTTTTCAGATTTCTCTTTTGGAGTCAGAAGACATGCCCAAGGCCTTCAAGAGCTAGAGAACCTTTTTTGGTTCTTCAGTAGACAGAAGATATTCTTCAGCCCTCTTAAAGCCCGAATACCTTCTACAGAGAACGAGCGAGAAAATCTTCTTCCGGTTTTCTGAGGACAAAAATTATTTTTTAGAGCCAGAAGACCATTTCCGGCTCTTCAATGGACAGAAGACCTTCTTCCGTCCTTTGAAATCATCAGATCTACTTCAGATTTTTCAGAGACGAACTATAATATTCATCATAGAAAACCGAAGACCTTTAAAGAGAAAAGAACTTTCTTCTGGGAAAAGAAGTCCATTTTAGATATTTCTTTTTGAGTCAGAAGACATTCCCATGGCCTTCAAGAGCCAGAAGACCTCTTTCGGTTATTCAGTGGACAGAATATCCAGCCCTTTTAAGGCCACAATACTTTCTTCGGCGAGAATATCATTTACTGGTCTTCTGAGGACAGAAGTTATTTTATAGAACCAGAAGGCTATCAGAAGACTCAGCTCTTCGAGGGACAAGAGCCTATCTTCATCTATTTTGAGAAAAATAGGATATTTTTAGGTCTTTTGGAAACATAATACCTTAATCGTTTTTTTTTTTTGTAGAGATAGACTACTTCTAGTCAGAGGATCTTCATAAACTATTCTGGATACAGAATACTTTCTTCAAATGTTCTAGAGTCGGAGCTCTTCTTGAGCAAAAAGACGACCTCTAATTCTATCAAAGGTAAAAAACCTTTAGAGACTCATTCCTAGACAGGATACTTTCCTCAGGTCTATTCTAGAGATAGAGAAATTTCTTTAGCTCCACTTGAGTCAGAAAACTTTCTTCGTCTCTTCTGAAGATAGAAGACCTACGTTAGATCCTCGATCGACAGAAGAATCTGTTCTTTTGGAGTCAGAAGACCTTTTCCAGTCTTTCCTAACACATAATACCCTCTTCCCTTCATATAGACGCAGAATACCTTCTTCGACCCTTCTATTTATAGGAGATCTTCTGCAGGTAACTTTTTTTATAAGGTTTACACATTTAAATAATTTTTGGTAATTTTTAGGTTATGTTTTATTTATTTATTCCGGAAAAAATCCTCAAGGCAAATCGGTAAATTTAAATTTCAACGGTATTACACAGGCATTCATAAAAAAATTCTGAAAAGCATTCTCCGTCGAATATTGAAATTCCATGTTAAAATTGCGAACAATATTCGCCAATGTTATTTCCAGCTGCAAATCGACAATACGCTTTCCCACACAAGAACGTGGACCAAATCCGAAAGGTAAAAATATAAATGGATTGGTGGCCTTAAGTTTATCCGATTCTTGGGAACGTAACCATCTCTCGGGTATAAATTCATCGGGTTGGGAAAAATAACATACATCCTTCAACAACATATTTGAGGTTAGAAAAACATGAGTTCCCTTCGGTACTTGATAACCACTTAAACACAAATCCATTGCGGTGGTTCGCATATTACCAAAAATCAAAGGATACAGGCGCATAGCTTCTTTAATACAGGCTCTCAAATACGGTAAGTTTTTCATATTTTCCATAGAGAATTTTCCGTTTCGTCCAATTGCGTTTAAAATCTCTGCTCTCAGTTTCTTCTGTTTCTCGGGATTTGTGGCAAGACATAGCAAAGCAGCCGACATAATTGTCGATGTTGGATCCACCCCAAACATCAGCATATCCACCGACATAATTGTGGCAATTTTACGATCGATTTTGATTAATTTTTCCAACACACTTTTGCCCTCTTCTTCACCATGACTCTCAATCCTCTGCAATGTTTCTTCGACATATTTACAACAAATATTCGTAATCGTATCCATGGATTTTTCAAATTTCCTATAGGTGGGCGTTTTTATGTATCTATGTATGGATGGTTTAATACCCAATTCATAGAGGGAGGTGTTGAATGTTTGTAAGTTATCGAACAGCTCTTGGGCTTCTGGTAGTGTAACCTGATTTCGTACCAATCCCAGTTCTTTATCCAAAGCAATAACGGCCACCGATTCGAAGGCTAGACGTTTTATTTCCCTTAGGAAATCTTCGGGAACTTCTAACGTGGTGGGATTGCGGATTTCACGGATTCTACAAAGAGGAAAATAGAAAATTGTTAATAAGGGACCCAAAATATATTCTAGAGATTGAGAAAAATTAAAAAAAAAATCTTTACCCAAAAAACGACATGGGCAAGAGTTGGAAAACGTCCTTCCCCCTCGAAAGGAACTGAAAAAGGTCTTTCGTCTTTAGAAGAGCTATAGAGGACATGAGGATGGTCTTCTGTCTCCAGAAGAGGTCCTGTAGTTCTCTAGTACAGCTGAAGAAGATCTTCTGTCAACAAGAGAGATTAAGTTTGAATTCCCGGAACTTAAGGAGGATATAGTCTTCAGAAGAGCAAAAGAAGGTCTTAGGTCTATAGATGACCTGAAAATGTATTTTGCTACAGGAGATCTGAAGAAGAATTCCGGAAAGCTTATACGAGATCTGAGTATAGAATTTTTTCTGTAAAGGGCAACGGCAATATTTTAATATTTTATTTATTATACAAGAGAATGTTCTAAGGATAGAGGATCTTCGCTGTCTATCTATTTATAGATCATATCTCTCTCTATATTATATATTTATAGCTCTCATTAAATGCCAATATCCGTAGCAGTCTTACCTCTCAATAAAATCATTATTAACTTTTTGTGTTGGCTCGATGTACAATACAGTATTCCTTGGCTGCATGAGAACAGGATTTACGGCATGACGAAATCTCGACCATTGGGCGCCACTACAAAAAACAAACAAAAACACATGTATTAACTTTAATAATTTTCCAAAATTCTTCCTTCTCTCATACTTTCCTGCCACTCCCAAATTCTCAGCATCATAGAGACCCGCCTCGGTACGCTGCAAACGATAATCGAATATAATTTCATTACCCGGCCTTACAGGAAATGGTCCTTCGGTGCGAAATATCTTTTCATGATCATTTAAATTGAAGGTTATTAAATTTTGTTGTTTTCCAAGCATGCCAGGCATTAAATACAAATCACCATAACGTTCACGACATTGGCGGAGAACGGAGTCGAAAGATTTCTTGTGGAAATCTCCACCGGGCATAAAATCACGTATTAATTGATATTTTGTTGGTCCTGGTATTGAATTGAAGGGAGATGCCTGTTGCCATTCTTTTTCGAGGGTTGTTGTGTAGGAGTTGTCGAATGAATAGGGATTGTTGACCTGGGGCAGTGCGGGAGAAGAAGGAAGTAGGTGTTATTACATAGATTAGATACATCAGTTACGACCAATTGTAATTTATTACGTATTAAGAAGGGAAGTTATTGAATTTAATGCATTTCGATTTTAGTCTCGGAACCCATTTTATTTTCTATTTTCCGATCGAAGTGTGAAATCTAATCGATTGGATTTTAAATACGAAAAAGATCTCCCACGGGGGTCTTCTCTAAATTCCGCTTCTATTTATTTTTTTATTGTTTAGCGTCTCATTACCTTTGTATTGGTGACGGTGGCAGAATATAGCCTGCAAATAACTTGCCGAGATTTTATTAGATTTGATAACATTATTCAATTCAATTGTTTTTATTGTTTATATTCCGCAATTGTTTCCACACTTAAAATGCAGCAGAATTGCGAACGTACTGATCGTGAGTAGCGTTCTCAGAAATTGCGGGATGGACAAAAGCTTTTGTTGAAATCAATGAGATAATAAATATATATTAAGGGGTATTTAGACTTCAAAACTTGTCTCGTTAGCTGAATGGTTTTCATATTTATGAAGGTCGTGTGGCAATAGAAATAGTTCTGAATGCTGACGAAATATAGAATATCGTTTGGAGAACCCTATTTAAAAGTCAACCTACTACCTACCTACCCACATCAGATCTTCTGCAGTTAAAAACACAACTTCGTGATTACAGATTCATATACTTCATTGGGAATGGAAAAAACCTGATTCGGAACTGCATCAGTGTCTCATCATGGACTTTTGCCGATTAAAGTCCTGATAATGTTATTATATTTATAGAATTTCTCAGGATTGTTTGAAGGCCACAGAAGATCGTAGGATGATTTCTAAGAGATAAGAAAAATATTCTATCAAAATAAGACATCAAGATGGCCCTCCTCCTGTAGAAGGACTTCTATTTTGTCAATAGAAGACCTCAACCTATTTTATAGTATATCGAAGGTTTTAGTACAGTTGGATGACCTCTGGATCATTTTCTATCAATGAAAGACATCACGATAGTCTAGTGTGGATTTGATTCACATGGGAGATGTGGATTTGAAATATTCAATATTAGAAGTGCTCTGAACAGCTTATAGATTAAACTCATGTGAGGATCAATAACATATTATAATCATTCCCGAGTTTATTCCCGTAAAAAATTTCCATAATAAATCCTTTCATCCTTTCAGTGAACCCGCCATGGACTTTTGTCGATTCAAGTTTATAGAAGTTCTCTGAATAATTTATAGCCTGCATAATGCATAATCAACAGAAGACTTCAAAATATTTTATAGTCTATCGAAGGTCGAAGCTGTATGTCTATAAAAACCTTAGTGTATTGTTATTATCTAGGAATGACTCCATGGCTTATTTTTTACCTGTGAAAGACCTCAGAATGGTTTCCTATCTATAGAAGAGCTCACAATAGTTTTTTCGTTATTTGAGGCCTTAGAAGTCCTTGTTTATAGAATAAGACAAAACGCTTCAAAATAATTATAAATCTATAGAAAATCTTACTGTGATATTTTATCTCAAGACGACTTCAGGATAGTTTCTTATAAAAAATGCGATAGATAACAAAAAACTTCATCCAGGTTTTTTTAGCAAAAAAAAAAAAAAAAAAAAAAAAAAAAAATGGAAATATTTCCCTATCTCTCGAAGATCTTTAGATGCAGTAGGTACCATTAAGGTCTGATATAAGAATTAGATTACAATAAATATATGAGCCTAGGTCCTATGTAAAAAAATAATTATTAGTGGCATTAAGTCAGGATTTTGAGTGCAACGTTGGATTTGGAGTTTAGATCGTTGAGCACCACAAAAAATACAAATTTTTGTATTAATACTTTTTCAACGTCATGGTGACCTGAATTTAGAGTTTCAGAATTAGTTTATAATAAATGCATGTAGTTAAGTCCCATGTAAAGCACTACAATTCTTGGCTGCATTAAGTCAGTATTTACTGCATAACCGAATTTATATTGTTGGGCGCCACTTCAAATACTAAAATTTTGTATTAATATTTTTCAACGCTATGGTGACCTGAATTTAGAAATACCTGGCAAGTTTGGAGAACAGCAGAATTTAATTAACTTCGATTTAAATGACAATGAAAAGATTTTTTTCGAATCGAAGGACCATATCTCATAGGCCAGGGCAATGAAAATATATATTTTGCCGTTTAAAGTGGAAATACGAGGATTAAATTCTTCAGTCCATAAAATATCCAGTGGTAATGTTTTGTCTGTAGTTATAAATATATAGACGACTGTTTAGAGATATTTTCTGCCTAAAAGACCCTCTGAAGGACATGTGAGAATAAATTAATTTTTGTGAGCCTTTAGGTATGCATAAAAGTTTTCCTGATAGCCAAGTATATTTGCAAGAACTTATTAAGGTCTTCTGAAAATAGAAGATATATTGGAGGAAGCCTTTGCTATCTAGAGAATGCCTTTTTTATCAATAAATTTGATTAGAAACCCTGCCCTGACCTATAGATGAAATTCAGCAGAAATTAGTGCTATAGAAAAAAAAAAACAGTCTTTTGTTAAGTGATTATTTATACCCTAAAGCCTAAGGCGCCGAAGGACAGTATATGAGGGGGGATACATAAATGCTTTAGAAAATATATATTTTTTGTAGTGGCGCCCAATGGGATGTCGTAAATTTAGCATCGCCTCCCCAATGATATATAATTGATTTGAATGAGTTTGTATATCCTGCAGCCTAAAGTTTCGGTCTGTTTGTCTAGGATATTTGGTATTGAAAATAAGATAAATCCGACCAAATAGTGGTATTTATACCCGCAAAACTATGTTGTTAGGGTATTACAGCTTTGTGCAACCCCAAGAGTTTGTAACGTTGCGAAATATTGGTCCTAGATCCACCTTTAAGTATACCGATCATATCTCGACTAACTGAGTCGATCTAGACATATGTGTCCATCTATCCATTATAATTTGTAAACACGATACAGGCTACAGTTATGGAGGAATCTTAACGAAATTTTGCATATAGGATGGGTTCTGGGCAAAGTAGACTCCTATTGTTTTTGGTAATTATCGCTTATTATTTAGGGGATGAAATGGACCAACAACTTTATTTTTGTCTGTTTTTCTGGGAGCTTGGTTGGCCTTTAAATTGATAGCAATTATATTGTTGTATGTATTCGGATGTGGGAATTATACTAAAAAATTTACAGAGGTCTATGTGTTTTGATATTGTTCAGTATTATTATTACTCACTAGAGGGTGGAAATGTCGCGCTTTTCGCTTTGAAATTTAAAATGAACTTCCGGTTATGGTCAAGGACGACGTCTATACTTTTCGTTGATTTTGAGATGAAATTTAGGGGATGCCATGAACCGACAACTTTATTTTTGTCAGATTTTTTAGTCGCCCTAGAGGCCATTATTGCGTGCAGAACATCACATATTCTACACGGTGGAGGGGACCTGACCAAATACTTAGAACGCCTGTTTAGATGATGATCGGTCAATATCCCGAGAGCCAAATCAACTAAAACCTAAAGTGACCAAATTTTTTATACCATTCACCACACTGTGGTACAGGGTATTATGTCTTAGTGTATATGTTTGTAACAGGTAAAATGAAACGAGATAGACACATGGTTCCTTTTGAGAATATGCATAGAATCACTTTCTGAGTCGATTTATGCATGTCCGTCCGTCCGTCCGTCCGTCTGTAGATGTTAAATTGTAAACAAAGTACAGGTCGCATTTATGATCCGATTTGCATGAAATTTGGCACAAGTCATTTATTTGGCCCAAGGACAAACCCTATTGGGAAAAATCGGTTCAGATTTAGATATAGCTCCCATATATATTTTCGTCCGATTTAAGGTAAATGGGACACCAAAGTCCCTCTACATCTTTCGATTAGCATGAAATTTGGCATAGAGTACTGAATTAGGTCCAGAACGATGTGTGCCATGTTTCGAGAAAATCGGTTCGGATTTAGATATAACTCCCATATATAGGTTCGTCCGATTTAAGGTAAATGGGACACCAAAGTCCCTCTACATCTTTCGATTAGCATGAAATTTGGCATATAGTACTGAATTAGGTCCAGAACGATGTGTGCCATGTTTCGAGAAAATCGGTTCGGATTTAGATATAACTCCCATATATAGGTTCGTCCGATTTAAGGTAAATGGGGCACCAAAGTCCCTCTATATACTTCGATTTGCATGAAATTTGGCATAGAGTACTGAATTAGGTCCAGAATGATGTGTGCCAAGTTTCGAGAAAATCGGTTCAGATTTAGATATAGCTCCCATATATAGTTTCGTCTGATTTAAAGTAAATGGTGCATCAAAGTCCCTATATATCATTCGATTTGCACGAAATTTGGCACAGCGTACTGAATTAAGTCTAGAATGATGTGTGCTAAGTTTCGGAAAAATCGGTTCTGGTTTCGATATAGCTCCCACATATACATATATATTCGTCCGATTTTACATCAATGGTGCACCAACCTTCTAATGTTTGTCCGATTAACACCATTTTTTGCACAACGTATCAAGTTGAGATTTGAATAACGTTATTGCGTTTTGTTGAAATTGATGTAGATGCTGTCATAGCTTCCATATGTATTTCGTATGGATGTCTGAATGAAATTAAAATTTTAACAGTGCGGCGACCGAATAGCGTGTATGCCCGAATGAAATTAAATTTATCATAGGTTGCAGAAAGACTTGCTTATGTTCCTTGGAGGGTATACATACAATATACCCAAAGTGAGGAAGGGTGTCATATAGGCGGCCCAGTCCGACTTTACTGCTTTCCTTACTGGTTTTTTTATGGCCTAAACATTCAAATCCGAAAACAAGATTTGGAAAATATGCCAGGGTTAAGAAGTGTACCTGTTGACCAATAATCGGTCAAGATGTCAAAGGTGGAAATATAGCGAAATATTGCCCTGGGCCCTGGTCTTTAGTGTTTCTTTTTTTGAGAATAAAAACATATTTCACAAAAGAAAGATGTCCAATTAGCGTTTACAGTTGGAAGATTTTTGACTGTCTTCTAAGATGTTCTTAAGAAGGTATACGATTTACTTATCCCGAAATTATTGCAAACTCATTCTCCCCTCATCAACAATAAAATTACAACTCTTCGCATGTCATTCTCAATAATCACATTTATTTACAGGCGTCTATTGTACATAGTTATGTATGTATGCCATATACATACTTATATTTATATATTTGCATTGATATTGAATATTTCATTTTCATATTTATTTCAATTGTGTTATACATTGTTATTATCAAATTAATATATTTTTTACATTTTAAATGTAAAACAAAACAAATT